CATTAATCCCATCAATGCTTGCCATTTATGTTAATATAAATAATCCAGCAGAGGCTAATAGGGTCGCAAGGTTGATAACTTGATAATAAAATAGCTAATAGAAAAATGACAGAGGCCTCTTTAATTAGCAAACCCATTTGTGAATTTCTTGGGGATGAAGATTTTTTTTTCTTTTCCGGGGTGTCTTTCAAAAAGACAGACATAGCTTGGAGATTCATTTTGTTCTTCTTTATGACTTTGTTTTTTTATGCTCTCCTACACGGCCTTGGTCAGTGCAGGATGGGAGCTTTTGTGTTGTTTACTAACCCTCCAAGCTTTTTTTCTTTATATACAGACACTTTTTTTGTTTTGTTTTCACCCCCAAGAAAAGCCTGGTTTTTATTCAACCATCTTTTAACCTTTGGATTTTAGAGGTTTAGAGATTTTAAATTTAACGTTTCTTGTTCTGTTTTAGTGTTGTGTTTTATTTCGACTTGTTTTACTTGGATTGTTTGTTTAACCTTACTAAAATTTAGTATCTGAGGTTTGATTCCCTGTTTGGTCCCGTTTTAACTTTCTGTATAATTTTGTAGTGGTTTTAGCTGATTTTGTTGTTTATAGTACTTAATTGCTCTTATCTTATTGATAGTCTACTATCTAGTTATGATTTATTTTTAACTTGTAGTTTTACTCTTAGACACTTTTCAAGAAAATTTTTACTTTTTCCTTTTTTTCACAATCAGATCTGTTGGTCATTTTGCTTTTTTTGTGTGTATCTAGTCGTATCTCTCTGTCGTGGTTAAGTTAGTAGGGATATAGAATGTTAGTCAACGGGATGTTGTGTTATTGCGCTGTGGTTGGGAGTGAGGAATTTCGGTTTGCCCTTATTTTTTTTCATACGTTTGTATAAGTGTGTGTATGTTGCGACTTTTTGTTTTCGTAATATTTTTTTTTGGGGGGGGATTGGATTAGGAGCTGCTCTTGATTATACTTTTGTGTTTCATTCTTTGGAGAGAGATTTCGTAAGATTTTTTAAATTTTAATATCCTCTGTTGTGTATTGTTCAATTGTGTATTTTTGTGTTTCATTTTAATGTTCTGATATATGTGAAATATGGCGTTTTAACTATTATTTTCCTGGGGGAGTTAAATTTAGGTGTTTTAATTGTACTATCAATGGGTTATAACATTGTTTTCATTGGATGTTGATCTGAACTCCTCTCTCCCCGCAGGCCCATGTTCGGCCTTACACCCTTTAGGGTAGGTTTTGTCAGTGTGGGTCTATATCCATGTATTCATGTCAATAGTGGTCACTACAATTTCTTCTCGGTGCTTTACATCTTTCATATTAGAATAAACCGAAACTTCAGAAATTTGAAAAATGGTGTTCTAAAATCTATAGCATATTTTCTTTGAATGTAAGATCAATTATTAGTGCGTATAGGCTGAAGTTCACCAAAACTTACTGCATCTTCTTTAATCCGGCCAAAACTAGTGGGAAACATTTGTTTTAAGAACAGAAACTAAATAGTCACTAAAATTATTCATTTTGTCATATGTTCAACTTCAAATGTTTCCGGTCATTCTCTTCCAAAAATTATCTTCTTCTCCCCCCGTACTGTTCATAGGTTGATTGAAAACATTTTCTAAGTTGTCTTGTCTTACTCCTCTTAATTTCCAGCTTTGTATTTAACCTAATATAATTTCCAGTTTTTCTTTTTATCATTTTGTTGTTTTCATAACAATATCAAATTCTTTTAGCTTGGATTTCTTTGCAGTTTCAATCAATACTAGCTGATCCGGTGCAGATCATCTGCACACCGTTATATATACACCTTACATTTCCGGCCAAATTGGCGTATTCTGACTCTTGACGCTTCAGCTCGCCAAGAATACATCGTGCGGTATCTATCGTCAAGATAAAAATAGAGCCGATATGGCAATTCAGCGCTCCAAGAAAATTCGCCAAGGCAGAAAAAGGTGCTAAATGGGTGTTTATAATGTAAACGTATACAATATACAATTTTCACAATAGTAAGTTCCAAAATATTCATATCAATTTGTTTAGACACTGATCTGAGTGTTGTCTGTCTTGTCTAAGCCCATCTGCGTCATTGCAAACTGATATCTTTTGAATAATTTTATCCAAAGTTTCATTATATTGTAAGAAATTTTGTGAGCTTTACGTCTAAAACTCATTTTATTGCTGAAAATGTTGCTGCTATATATATTATATATATAATCTTTCTTAGAACATAAAACAGAAACCTGATCATCCTTTTAACTTCTTTAAAACTACCTCTATTCCCAAACACATTAATTTGATTCTTCTTAGAAATTTTATGGATGTACAAAAGGGTCCATAAATGTTATCCAATTTTGTTCAAAACGATTCTTAATGGATGATCTGATTTACATTAGACAATTTTGAAGTTCTTCCTTTTCAGTCTTGAGACTCTATACAACATTGTTTTATAGAAAATTATTATCGACATTAAAAATAGTTACACAGGGATTTTGGAACATCGAATTTATAATTTCTAATCCTGTCTCGATGCTACTAATTTCCTTGAATTCATCGGTTAGTTTATCAATATCCTCTGGTGTCTGTGAATTTATCAAAACTTCTCCTTTTTAAATTTTTTTCACTCCAATTATTTTTCTACTTGCTTTAGCTGGTCAATATTATCTTGTAAAATTTTCTTAGTTCTTATCCGAAGTTTCTACCTTTCTTAGGTAAGCCAAAACATTAAACTATTTTCTCTTTAAAGACACATATTGTCTCAGTTCTTTGATGTATCGAAACACACCGACCTAACTCGAAGCCGTCCGGTGTTTCTTTATCACCACAGTATGCACCCGAATTCTGAGCCAGGATTAATTCTGAATTAATTCCTGTCGGTTGGTTAGGTTTATGTGGAACTTTATTTTTGAAAAAACCGTACAATCTTAGTCTTTTTAACAATTTTGAATTCAAAATAACAATGAATAAGAATTTAAACAGCGTAACGTAACTAAGAACAAATGGACATATAAGAAACAACAAAGAACATATAAACATAACAGAAATAGTTAGCATATCATAATGTTTTGAAGAGTAGTTCCTCATTCTTGTAAAGGAAATCTGTCATGTGATTTTGAAAGATCGGCCGTAACGACAGAAAATTGGGCACTGAAGTCAACCACATAATAGCCCGCATTACATGGGTCTCCTGCGAGGAAGTGTGATCCATTTCATTATTCGCTAAAAGGATCCACAATGTATCATTCGCTTCGCTCCCTTAATTGTTTTTATTTCCTTTTTGTGCTACAATTCACTACTTTCTAGTTTCTAATTTTTGTACTAAGGAATTTTTAGGCTCTCATTTACTGTTTGGGTTATTTTCTATAATACACTGTTATATTTGGCTTACATTTTGTTCTTCTTTTTATTTCAAACTAGCAGAACGCGCACGGCGTTGCCCGTGGAATCAGGACTTCAAAAACATGAAAAAAAAAATCGCCCACAATGACACGAAAAAGTTTTGAAACAAAATCAAAACAAAAGATACACATTGATTTTCCCGCGATAATGACATGTAGAAAAGCAGTACAGAGTACGTTATTCCAAAACAATAATAAAAAAAAAATTGCAACGTGAAAATCTTTAATATACAGCAATGGTGTATCTAAGTTATGCTGATGTAATACAGTCTCAAACCACAATACCGTGACGTTTCAAGGTCACGACAGTACCCCCTTCGTCACCCCCCTGGAGCTTGCGTGAAAAGCTATGGCACATTTTACGCAGATGGTAAAGAAACTCTTTTAGCTCATCACGAAAAAAATTCTCTCATAATTCAGCAAAGCCAACTTATCACCCATGTCAGAATCTTCCAGCACTGCTTAATTTACGACTAAACCCTTGCGTCCAACGAAATGATTTCAAATTATTCCTAGCAAAACATGCTAAAAATTGAGGAGAGAATAATTCCAACAGATGGCGCTAGCCGTAGCCAGGGAGAAACTCACCGTTCCGGAGAAAGAACTTCATTCGAAAAGAATTTTTTTAACCCTTTAAGAAAAAAAATTATTAAGAACGAACGGACAAAGATATTTTAACCGTTCTTGTTTTAAATGAGAGATAAATACCTCTGTTGTTACCATAAAAAAACTGAAAATCATAGGTTTATTAGAACGTTGGATGCGATGGAAAAAACATTGACAGTTAAAAATATAAGGAGAAAGTGACAATTTTTAAAAAAATTCTCAAAATTCAGTAAATTACGTTAGAAATTCAAAACTAACTTCATTAGAACGGAAATCGCGTGCTCTTTCCGATGGTGTATATATTTTTATCGTAAACTTATTCGTAACTATTCTATTGAGAAATTAGTGCGAAAAATCAACCAAAACAACACAAAACATTAAATAAAAAAAATTCTAGATTAAAATTTAAAATTTCGGCTTCGAGGTGCATTCAGTCACCATTACGACTACCTGTGTGCCAAATTTCATGGCTGTAAGTGCGATAGATTCGTCTGGACATCGCAGACAAACACGCACACACACACACAAACATTGCCTTTTATAAGTATAGATTCTTCTCTGGAAATCCCATTTTTTTCAATATCACACTTCAACTAATTTATTTCATTATCATTACCATACTCCACACACACAAGTAGCCATCTTTAGATAGAATTCTTGCACAAATTATACCTGCATTCAATTTTGCGGAATCTGTTGCAGTTTGAATTGTATCTTTAATCTGGTGTTTAACCATGTCAGAGTTAATGATTGATTAGCGTTTGTTTATTATAATCCCTTTTTAATAAACTACAACTTCTTTACCATCTGTTCGTTTAAACACTTCAACAAAACTCAGAGCTCTAAATAGTATAGTATAGTATGCAAAAGCACAACCGCAAGTAGGGTATCCACAAGTGAGCTATCCCCATCTTTCCTGTGTTTTTATTGCCCACTGCTACCCTGCTTACCTAAAGTGTATAAGGCATGTTAAGATTCGGCGGAAAAAACTGCCAACAACACTCGATGTTCCGAAGTGGTCACCCTTCCAAGTACTGACCATGTCCTATGCTACTTAACTGCGGTGATCAAACGAGAACCGCCGTTTTCAGCATGGTATGGCCTTTGGGAAACATGGTTTGTCCTATCCTGCGTTAGCGCCTGTGGTCATCTGAATGGTAGTCTTCTCCAAGTTAACACGGGAATTGTGGTTGGAATCCTTATTGCCATTACCGGCTCGGACCATTGCCGCCAACAGGAGGTAAATCCCGTCAACGGAGTGGATGTAGCTCAACCTCACACTATTAATAACCCACTAGAGAAGCAAGAACCTGCTTGTTTATCCGGTTGTTTCTCATCCAAGTACTCGTGGTGCTTCTCGGGGGAGGGTACTCTGCATTTATTATCTTTGTGGATCCTCACGTCTTTATTTTTCATTTTCGTGCTCAAAATTAGTATGGGATTGATTATTCATCGTGCCTCTCGAAGTCGTACCATTAACTACTCACCTTACACTGACGAAAAACTTGAAACATTTAGTTAGATCTTCATGAGAAGGCTCTGGCAAAACAGGCGTTAGAATCCTATGTGTTCGTTCTGCCATTTTTCCCCATTCCTGCTGCCATTTCCCCATTTCCTTTATGATTCTAAAACAATATAGGGCTAACATGTTTTCATGTTTTGTAATTCCTGTGTTCATCTTTTATGATTCTTTCATGTTGCTTTCCATTCCTTTGGTCACTCGCAATTTAATTTTCTATTCGAAAGATTTTAATGCTTTTTGTACCTTCTTATGTGTTTTTGTTTTGTTTTCCATTTTGTTCTTTGTCCAGTGTATGTTTATTTTTCTTTATTATTTGTTTTTGTTTTTTCTAAAAAATAAAATTCACCTCTATCCATCCAAATCGGAAAGGGGCAGAATGGCTCTAAACACGGCGATTCAGGTGGTGTAATGTAATGTAATGTACCTTCTTATGCGTGTCTCAGAATTTATGCAATGCAGCGTAGACTTCTAATATGTTTTCAAGTATTCAGATCAGAAAAGAAAAGGTGAAATGGAAGAAACATCTATAGGAGATATTCGATAACTGACTGACTCTTCATGTGTCCGAGGCGAAGAAATGAGAAATATTCACCTGGATTTCTCTGAAAATTTTAGGGGTTTTATTCTTTATTTTTCAGTTCCTACTATTAGTTAACACTCTCCCTATATATATATATCTTGTTCAAATTTTTAATCGTTAATAAAATACTTTTTATTCATCCACTCAAGAAAATACATTTTTTAAAACTTGTAGTGGAAAACACCTGATGTTAATACAGTTTTTTCAAATATTAATTCATTAATTAAATTAAATTAATTAATTTTATTTATTAGAGGCTCGCAACTTTGCCGCCAAGGTCGCCACATTTATCGACAAGTTGCCCAGTTTGTCGCCAAGATTAGGATTACCGAACAATGAGTAAAGTTTTCAATCGTTAATAAAATACTTTTTATTCATCCACTCAAGTTCAAATACATTTTTTAAAACTTGTAGTGGATGACACTTGATGTTAATACAATTTTTTTCAAATATTAATTCATTAATTAAATTTAATTATTTAATTTTAGTTTTATGTGGGAGAAAAAAATTTCTAAAATAAAATTTTTCTTTGTTGACCTAAATAGGAATTGACTTTAATATTTTTATATATATTACTTGTTTGTGAATACATTTAGCCACTTTTTATCAATCCAGTTAAGTGCTCATAATGCAACTTTTTTCTATTCTTTTTGTTGGAAATATTCAATGGAACACATCTAGCTGGGAACACATGCAAACAAAGTACCACGGTTTAATCTCCTGATCCGAAACTGGCGTGCTATTCAGGAGACTTGTACTTCCTATCATTTGTGTGAAACTGACATTAGTAAGCCAAGAGTTTCTTTTAGCTATAATCTCTATATAACGATCGTCGTTTGCAGAAAGTTTGGATGGTAGGCTGGAACTATAACCATTAGCGTCTATTAAAATTTTATAAAATCTTTTCACAATCTTGTAATAATGCTTTTGGTACGAACTCATAATCAATATCTCCCTTTATGAATCGCCTTCTACTAATTCACCCACATTGTTCCCATGTATAAATTCGTCTACTTGTGATCTTTGATTCATATTATTTGCTGCATCAAGGGAGAAAACATTTGCGTCGGTACATAGTAATCATACAATACCTTTCTTTTTCACATTGCCTGCTTCCCCTAATAACCTCTTGCTTGACTTGGATGTCCGGCAAATGGCTAAAAATATCTGCATAATCATCAACCAATCAGTAAAAATTATTTCGGATACTTGAGAATTACGTGAGATTCGTTTGGTCACTCAAAAATAACTTTTCTGTTCGAAGCATTTTTATAGAAGATATTTTTAGCCATTTTATGTTTGTCCCATAATTTAAATATTGGTTATTGTTAAATTCACAAAATAGATCGCAAACAAATGGTCTTTCTCGTCGGTGGAATTTGTATTTGTGTACAATTTTAAAAGAGGTTTTTCCAAGAGTTTTATTCCGAGTATTATTCAAGTTCCTTTCTGATTCCTTAATTTTACTGTCCCAATCTCTTTGATCAACTTCTTCAATTGAGGTTACAATGGTGGACAATATTGTTCTATGTACTCTCTAGAACATTCCATTTCCTTGTGGGTGAGACGTAGAGTTCAAAATGTGAAAGATTCCAATCTCACCGCAGAACCTTTGTAACTCATGTGAAGTGAAACAGGAATCTCGATCTGATATTATGCGATTCGGTATTCCAAAATCTTCAACGAAATTTTTCACTGATTTAAAAACATTCTCAGGTGATGTGTTTCTCACAGGATAGAGACTCACAAATATGGTCATATTATAAATAATGACAGGTAATTCTTTGTATCTTTCAGAGCTCGTTACAAAGGGCCCTAAGTGATCAAGATTTACAATAGCGAAAGGTCTCCGACCTGTTGGTATGGTATGGAGAAACCCTTGCCTCTTTCCACTTGGAACTTTATTAACCTAAAATTCGAAGCACATTGATATATGACGACGAGCATATCTTTTCATATAAGGAAACCAATATAATTCCTTGATTTTGGACACAGTTTTGTTTACAGCAAAATGTCCCATAAGGTCATGAAACTTTACAACTATACTTTTCCTCATAATTTTTGGTATGACGAATAGAAGTCTTGCCCTCGCACCATCATTAATGACACGAAATAGACTGTTTCCTTTCAAAACATAATTCTGTACTTTTTGCTTTTCCTTTTGGGTTCTGTCTTCATTAACTATTTTGAGGATGAATATTAACTCCTTCAAAGTGTCATCTGCATGCTGCATCATTAGAACTTGATCTTCGACATTCAATGCAAGACCAACCTCTAACTTATTTTATATCAAGGAATCCATTGTATATGAAGAATTCAGAACTGGAGCTCTAATAATTGCATCGATATCAGACATTCTAACGCCAGGTCTATGACGAATGTCAAAATTGAATTCTTGAATAAGGAGACTCCAACGGAGCAATTTGAGGGTTGCAGAATTTCTTGGCATTCATAAAAATTAAAGCTTGACAGTCAGTCACTACTGTGAAACTAATGCCCAGCAAAAATTGCCTAAGTCGTTGAAGTGTCCACACAAGTGCCATTAATTCTAGTTTACTCGAATGGTATTTATTTTCCGCCTCTGTAGTCTTTTTACTCCCGCGATAAACTAAATGCCATTTGTTATCACTCCCTAGTTGAAGTAACATTCGAGCTTTGCCATCCGCACATGCATCGGCATGCACTTCAGTTTTTGCCTCTGGATTCTAGAGAGACAAAATCGGTTGGATCTTTAGTTCACGTTTTAAGGCTTCGAACGATTCTTCCTGAACTTTTTACCATTTAAAAATTTCATTCTTTTTCCTAAGTTGAGTCAAGTAGCTTTCTTTAATGGTATAATTTGGATTAAATCTTCTAAATAAACTTGTGAAACCAAGAAATCTAATAACGTCATGTATATTTTCAGGTTTGGGAAACTTAGATATCGCTTCTACTTTTCTAGATCCTGGCTTGATCCCACTTTTGTTAATGATAAATCCTAAATACTCTACCACTTGTTTCCCAAATTTGCATTTGGGTAATTTCAGAGTTAAGTTTGCGGATCGTAATCTTTCGAATGCTTCAATTAATTTTTCAATTATTTCTTCCCAGTTTTTGCTGGAATAATTGCGTCGTCCAGATAACATAATACACTCAGGTTACATAAAGGACACAATGCGAGGTGCATCAAACGTTGAAACTCTGCTGGAGCATTTGTTAAGTCAAAAATCATCCTCTCTAACTGTCCTGTTCCATCTGGTGTTATGAACTCTGTTTTCTGCTTTGCATTTTCGGTTAAGGGTATTTGTAGATATCCATGCTCTAAATCCAGAGTTGTTAAAAATCTGCAATCATGTAATTGCTCTAATAAATTATCTATTTTAGGTAATGGATAATTAATTATCTTTTACAGTCTGGTTATTAAGACGTCTGTAATCAATTACCAGCCTATTGTCGCCAGTCTTCTTTTCAACCAATAAGACAGGACTTGCATATGGTGCTCGTGTGTCTGACACAATTCCATTTTCTCTCCACTCTCTCACAATTTCCCTAATAGCAGCTTTTTCAGGAGTATTTGTATTATATGGTTTCATACATACGGGTTTTGACCCTTCAACTTCCTTAATATCAATTTTTGTTAAGTTGGTGGATCCTAGCTCTGAAATATTCAATGCGAAACTATATATTCATTCAATAGTTGGACCAGTTCTTGCTTGTGTTCATTTTCAATATTGGAATCAGTATTGATTTCAATCAAGATTATGGTAACTTTTTCTTTAAAGTTATTTAAATTGTTAGAACTTGGTATTTTTTTCTTTTACTTTGACATTTGAACACAACTCAATAACTTCAGCTCTGCCTAAGCATGGATCCTTCAAAAAATCAATATTTTTCTCGCCAACATTCGCCAAAGGAACACACGTTTTTTCGTTTTTAGCTTCCAATAAGCATCCAATGCCTTCGGAATGATTTTCTATCATAATTAATCCGTTTTCGATAGATTATGCTTGAGAACTGACCAT